ATGAATTTATGATCATTAGGCCAAACAAGAAAAAAACATCCCCAAAATCTCGCGACAAACCGATTTCATTGACGACCCCGCTTAACGGTTTCACGCCCTTATTAGCGCCTCGCCGCACTCGCCTGATCACGCAGACAATAGGTATTGTTGCCCGGTGATGGCTGTGTGTGTGTAGGAATAACGAAGCACGGGACTGAGAGAACAGAGGGAATCATTAAAGGCAGAGCTCAGGACAGATATTTGAGTCTATTTTGAGCTCAGTTTCCACTGAACCCTGCTCCCGTTCTGAACCGTGCGACGGTCTCACCGAGAGTGGTGCGACGCTCACTTCTTCGCCGCAGAAGATCAAGTCAACAATGCAAATATAGAGTGGCGGATTAGGCGACCTTTGCCTACGGCAGAGGTTCTCCAAGTGAGGTCCCCGGACCGGCCGTGGGGGTCCGCCACTCTCCTCCGCGTGGTTCGCCGAGCTGCGATGCAAACGCAGGTCGACCTTTTGAATATTTGACCCGTGATATTTAATTTTAAAATGAAGTTAGGTAAACTACCCCGATTGAATTACCCCGTCCCGAAGATCTAGAATGACCTCGCCTAAACAGAGAGCTCGTAGCTGCGTTGTTTGAACCTTCCAGTCGTGTTGTGTGACTGGCATTTAGAGAGATAAGCGATGGCGTTTCATTCAGGCGGAGTGGTGCCTGTACGGATCGCATGCAGGACGCTAGGGAATATCATCTCAGTGCCGGTCAAGACAATTAAATCGGTAGAGGCCAGAGCAGCAATAGGCAGAAGAAGAGGGAGGAAGGCCTTTAGCGCGGACTTGAAAAACGAGGATCGATAAGCAGCTGCGGACAGTCAGAGGTGGGGAATTCGAGACGTCTAGGGGAGCAGTGGACATGGAGCAGGGCTGGGGGAGCTACATCCCGTTAATTACCTCCATGCGGACCGCGGCCATATGAGGACTGCCACTGTTAAATGCCCCGCAAACGATAATTATCCGTCGCCGCAAGCATATTAGCCGCACTAATCGGGTACTCGAAGGTGGGGGGGGGGGGCATTTTCGACTTGAGAACAACGTCGTGTTTCTAATTATACGGTGCTTAGTGCTTAGTCACTCCCGTCACTGCAAAGGGCCTCTTGTAGTGACAGAAGTGCGTATAAGGTGTCTGTGTGTGTGTGCTAATGTGTGAAGAGCGGTAGTGCAGTGGTGAGCGCGCTGCGCTACGGACTCGGCTAACCCGGGCGATCCAGGTTCAAATCCCGCTCACCGGTCAGCACCAGTGACGATTATCTGAACCGGTACCTGGTGCGGTGTGTAAACATCGTCACGAGGGAGACAAAGCTGGCCGGGCGTGGTGCTGGCCACCCACTCTCTTCGTGTGCCGTGCCGACCTTCAAAAGTTTGTTTAGGCTATACGTGGGGATCTTTGTGCTAATGTGTGATTGACCACCAATACGATATTTGAAAGTTCTGTTCGGCGCTTAGTAAGAGACAGGTGTGTCCAGTGCCGGATTAAGCTCGTGCGGGGCCTGTAGCATGATGTTATAGAGGGGCCCCAAATATCAATCAACACATTCATATTAAAACACGTCATGTTTTGAAAACTTGCATCGTAGAGCAATTGTATTTTTTTTATTAGCTATACAGCCAGATAATACGACAAATCGCTAACTTTAAACATCCAGTCGTTCATAAAAGTTGAAGGCAGCATAGTACTATAGTAATAGAGCAAGTGCAGAATCATTGAACCGGAATTGATAGCTTGAAAGCATTTAGCGCGGGGCCCTTGAAAGTGCGGCGCCCGTAGCTACTACATGTGTAGTAGTATTATCCGAGTAGGAAGAGTAGCTACATGATGGTGGTGCTGATGGTGGTGGTGATGGTGCTGGTGGTGATGGTGGTGGTGATGGTAGTAGCTACTACTACATGTGTTGTAGCTACTACTAGCTACTACTACACGTGTTGTAGCTACTACTAGCTACTACTACTACACGTGTTGTAGCTACTACTACTACTACACGTATTGTAGCTACTATTAGCTACTACTACACGTGTTGTAGCTACTACTACATGTGTTGTAGCTACTACTACATGTGTTGTAGCTACTACTAGCTACTACTACTACATATGTTGTAGCTACTACTAGCTACTACTACTACATGTGGTGTAGCTACTACTAGCTACTACTACATGCGTTGTAGCTACTACTACATGTGTTGTAGCTACTACTAGCTACTACTACTACATATGTTGTAGCTACTACTAGCTACTACTACTACATGTGGTGTAGCTACTACTAGCTACTACTACATGCGTTGTAGCCACTATTAGCTACTACTACATGTGTTGTAGCTACTATTAGCTACTACTACATATGTTGTAGCTACTACTAGCTACTACTACTATATGTGGTGTAGCTACTACTAGCTACTACTACATGCGTTGTAGCTACTACTACATATGTTGTAGCTACTACTAGCTACTACTACACGTGTTGTAGCTACTACTACATGTGTGTAGTTACTAGTAGCTACTACTACTACATGTGTGTTGTAGCTACTACTAGCTACTACTACATGTGTTGTAGCTACTACTAGTTACTACTACACGTGTTGTAGCTACTACTACTACATGTGTGTAGTTACTACTAGCTACTACTACTAGTAGTTACTACTACATGTGTAGCTACTACTACATATGTACTACTACATGTGTGTAGTTACTACTAGTTACTACTACTAGTTACTACTACACGTGTTGTAGCTACTACTACTACATGTGTAGTTACTACTAGTTACTACTACTAGTAGTTACTGCTACATGTGTAGCTACTACTACGTATGTACTACTACATGTGTGTAGCTACTACTACTACTACATGTGTGTAGTTACTACTAGTTACTACTACTAGTTACTACTACATGTGTAGCTACTACTACATATGTACTACTACATGTGTGTAGCTACTACTACATGTGTGCAGTTACTACTAGTTACTACTACTAGTAGTTACTACTACATATGTAGCTACTACTACATTTGTACTACTACATGTGTGTAGCTACCCTTGCTACTCGGACAATCCGGCACTGGGTGTGGCGCTAGGGGATGGGGAGGGGGTGGGGGCTCTGACCGAGGGGTCTTCGTTGCTGCAGTGGAGAGGTGAGAGGCGATCGTTGGGTCCAGCCGTATTCTTTTTTCAATGGAGACCCGATATTAAATCAATGACTACATCTATTTGCAATGACTGACATTTCTGTTCGGGATCTCAACAAAAGCAGTCGGGATTCGCATTCCCTGCCGCTTTTTGGACGAAGAATGGTCACAGTCCCATTCATGTCCACGCGTATCAGTGCAATAGCTACATTGTCATCATCAATCATCGTCAGCCATGATCTATCCACTGTGGGATGGACATAACACCGCCCCCCCCACCCCGCCCCAAAAGCTCGCCACCATCTCTCACGGTTTTGTGATGCAACGATCCATCTAAGTTCAGGGGTCGGCACCTCAAACAACAAGAAAGATGCATTTTGTGTTCATATTTCAAGAGTCGCAATGCGATGTGAAGAACGTGACGAAGAGGTTCTTAGAGAGCCGCCGTATGGCAGCTTCGGGTCGGCAGGTTCCCGACCCGTGGCCTCGCAGGAGTCCGCAGGCAGGAGCCAGACGAGATGTTGTTGTTGTTGCTGCATCGCAACACATTCACACACCACACGCATCACGTACCAGCAAATACACATGTTATGATGTATATATACACGTCGGTAGTAATAACAAGTCAATCTACTTCCGAATGAAGGCATTCCCATGCCGAATCAGTCATGGTTACTGCTTGACCATGCTTCACCATGCTGCTTTGTTCGGGTACCCATAATCGGTTCAGATATCACTCGCCACTGATGTCAGCCGTGGCTTTGCAAATCGGTATAGGTAAAATATAATTTGAATCCGACCGATTACATTTGTAGGGTTCGCTCTTATGCCACCACGGACATGCACCATCAGCAGAAGTAGAAAACCACTAGCAATAGAAGCAGGAATACCACCATCACCACCATCACCACCACCGGCACCACCACCATCACCACCACCATCACCACCACCACCGGCACCACCACCATCACCACCACCACCATCACCACCAGCACCATCATCACCACTATCACCACCACCAGCACCACTATCACCAGCACCACCAGCACCACCATCACCACCACTAGCACCACCATCACCAGCACCACCACCAGCATAACCACCAGCACCACCATCACCAGCACCACCACCAGCATAACCACCAGCACCACCATCACCACCAGCCCCACCATCACCACCATCACCACCACCATCACTACCACCAGCACCACCATCACCACAATCACCACCACCATCACCACCATCACCACCACCATCACCACCACCACCAGCACCACCATCACCACCACTAGCACCACCATCACCACAATCACCACCACCAGCAATAGAAACAGGAAACCCACAAAAGCAGTTGCAACAGGAACGGCACCTCCGTCATAATCGTCATGCTCTCCACCTGTCATCACGACACGCATTCATATAACAGCACATGCACATACGTGTGCGAATGCGTGTTGGGCGGGATGGCTTAGTCGGGGGGGGGGGCTCCTACCTATCAATGCTGTCCCTTCAGGGACCCCCAAAATTCGTTAGGGTGGCCGAGACCCCCACCCCTACACCGCACGGGTCCCTTCCTCTGCACAGACCCCAGCGGCGTTGGCTGGCGACGCCGGGCGCGTGCGTGTCGCGCGTGTGCGTGCGCGCGTTCCTGTGCACCAGCCTATGCCCTTATCAGTCTCTGTCGTGGTTGATTTCTACCGGGAAGCGTTTGGGGGGGGGGGCGAGGTGGGGAGGGGGGTGTCTGTGGCACCGAGAGGGAGGAAGGGTTTGGTTGGTGGGTGGGGTGATTGGACGGGCGCGATGGGACAGGGCAGGGGAGGGCAGAGCGGGGGAGTGAAGGGCAGGGGCGGGAAGGGCGTTATATAAGCCAGGGCACCTCCCGCGCCGCTCCCGTACTGCCCACGAAACAAATCGGACCGGGCAGCCATGGCGGAAGACGTGGATAGAGCTGCCGTGAGTGACCCACACGCACACACACACACGCACACACACACGCACACACGCACACACACACACGCACACACGCACGCACACACACGCACACACGCACGCACACACACAGGTATTATAGGTCAGTCATCTTTCAGGTACAATAAAGCCAGGATGTATCATGGGAAAGAAGAATATCTCATGTTCCAGAAAGGGGGAGAGCCAGGTGTCCATGCGGTGTCTTCAATGGCGTGTTAATACACATCTGACAAAAAACCCGGGATTTTTAATGTCCTGGGAAGACTTACAGATTTCACGAGACAGCTTCCTCCACAAGAGGACAATTACGGGAAAATCAGGACAGGTGGCAACGCTACACTGGAGCGTTGCATTTTGTGAATTGTTGCAAGCCGGCAATATTCGACTGTGGCACCAGCGTGTAAAGTTCACTTTGCTGCAGACATGACTCAGCTGAGCGGCCACGCTGACTGGGAAATTGACAGACTTCTTGAGAGAATTGAGCCGTAGACTACCCATGCAAAGGGGCTCCCTAAACACCGCTGCATGTGCGTTATAGGCGGAATATAACGCACATGCTTAGGACAGGTGGTATCACATACACGATTGTATACAACCAAGAGACTCATACGTCAATGGAAATTGGCTGAACAACCAAATGTAGGACCCCGCTGATAAATTCTTTAGGCGAAGGAGCTAACATCTCGCCACCACTTGCTAGGTAGTCAGGGCGCGGCAGTTCAGCAGGCGTATTCTTGAACTCGTCTGTGCGGAGCTCTGAGTGATACCACCTAGTACCTGTCGTGGGTTGTCTCTGAGATCTCCGCGGTTTACACTTTGCTGTGCAAGTTTAAAAACTTCCAATTTGCATTGTCCAAACGTCCCGATGTAGCAGGCACCCTCATGTAGACTCGGCGAGGCTTGTATTAATTGATAACACTTAAATAACAATAGCACTTTTTTATGATTTTATTATTATTTTTACTTTAGCCAGACATGAGCCATTGCGACGAAAGGGCTTGTTTAGAAAATGCGACTCGTGGCAAATGCCGCAATGGCTATCATCGAACGTGTTGCACCGTTGAAGAGAAGGACGTAGCGCTTGCGACGTCAGAATTGCACGTGTTAGACATGACAAGACAGCTGAAAGACAGCCCTGCAGGTGCATACAGCAGGACAATCCGTAGGCTGTCGCGATCAATATCATCCATAATACAAATTTGGCTGTCGTCTGAAGAAACTAGTTGTGATTACTGCCGAAACGTCGTACTCAGATTGTGAATGTTGTGGCTTTGCTCTCCAACACACCGATATGCTGCACGAGTAAGAGAATTGGCACGTTCTGTTTACGTGGCAAACCTTACTAATTGACTGTGCTGGGTGGTAGCGGGCTTAACGACACTTTTATATATTGTCTGAATAGGTTATTATAATCTGATTCAGACTCGTTCATCTCAGCTGGCAAGGTCCCCCCCCCCCCGCCTCCATTGAGATGAGCAGCTCTGTTAGGCAGACGGCCGCAACACAAGGCTGACGGCAGCCACAGGGACATCGTACAGGGAAGCAACGCGCCACACTCGCACGGGAGCAGAACCCCCTCGTACAGCCCGACCCAGCTGTGTACGCGCACACGCGTGAGTGTAGCGGTGTCACTTGGCCACTCACTCCGACGCAGGAACCCTCCCGCAAACGCGTCGAGCGTCACCGAAGATTTCCTGGGAAATAAATAAATAAGCAAATGCCGTCGTTGTTGTTTGTTTTAATTTTTGCACGGATATTCCATTGACTAAATGCCTCGTCGTGTTTGTTGTTGTTGTTATCACAGTAATGTTTTAACATTGACAATCACCCCCTTTCCTTGTCTGTGCAATTCACACTCCACAGTCTTGTGAAAAAGTTTGAGGACATATTGTACCATTCTCCCACGTGTTTACGTTGATCAAGGTTCAAGGAGTAACCCACGGACCGTGAACCCGGTGGCCAGAGTTCGATTTCTGGCCACGGTTCACATCAGTGGCGAGTGATGCATGAACTGGTCCTAGACGTCAACTTGACAAACCCGTGGTGAAGTATGGTCAAACAATGCCCGTGACCTACACGGTGTGGGGGGAGATTTCCATCCAGCAGTGGATTGACAAACAGACGACACATAAATAATGGATAAAGAGCCACCAGCCGGAATCAATATGTTGCTAAGATATTTAGCGTTTGCATTTCAGCATAATTTGCGTCCGCGCCAACATGGTTCTGAAAGTACGAGTGCATTAAACTATTGAAGGTCATTAATACAACGCACAGTCCCTTATCGATCCACTGATGGATGAAGGCTTCCCCATATTGTGTCATTCATGCGCCTTGTTTGACGATACTTCACCCCATTGGTCGGTGCAATTTGAAGGGGAGTACCCCAGCACTGGTTCAGACGTCAATCACCGCCTACGATATCCGTGGGCAGGAATCAGATGCAGGATAAGCGGGCTAGTGGCGCCGTGTGCCACCCAGGTGGAAAGTCAACTTGATACTGCTGAGTTGACAGTTGAGTTGACAGATGTGCACAGGCACAGAGTAGGCGCTTATACAATGATGTTTTTGTGTGTGAGAGAGAAAACAAGAAAAACGTTGGTTAACGCGAGGAAACCAACCGACAACGACGTAGAGGCTGGGTCATGGCAACGTAGCGGCTGGGTCACGACGACGTTATTTGTCAAGCCTAATTATATCCTTGGTTCTTTCGGTAAAATCACGTAGAAAAGAAACAATAAAATAATAAAAATATAAAACAATAAAATTCTCACGACGTTTCGACTGCAACACAAGCAATCATCATCAGGTGTGAAAACCACACCTGATGATGATTGCTTGCGTTGCAGTCGAAACGTCGTGAGAATTTTATATTTTTATTTATTTTAATATTTTATTGTTTCCCTTCTACGTGACTTTAGCGAAAGAACCAAGAATATGAATCCCTGCAGTCACGAAAGCTTTAAATCAAAATTTAAGCCTAATTATATTTCATGAAGATGAGCGGTTGGTCAATTGTCGAGTCTGCGAGCGCTGGGTAAATTAATATCCCATTCAAAAATCATCCGGCGCTGCATCGTAATTCTCGGTATAAACTATTTCATCCGAGAATATCTAACGCCTCGCGTTCGTTTTCTCTAATGAACAATCAGGCTACCAAAGCATGCGCTCGGTATACATTTAAAGACCGTGGGCAAGGGTTGAGTGGGCTCCCGTGGAGAACGCGCGATCCATCAACAGACACAGATTACCAGCGTGAACAAATTCGCACCGTTCCGGCGAAGAGCGACCTCCACTGCACCCTCCTGCCTCCCACGATAGCCGATGATGTCAAGTCAACCTGCTGTCTTATAACGCGCTAACGTGAGCTGTTGGTAGCACATTCCCCCCGAATTAAAGTCCAGGCCACTACCCCCTCTTCTCCTCCTCCGTAAGATTACCACCCCACTTGTTCTCAGTCTCCTTCCCCATCCTGTTGCTTCCATCTCCTCTCTCTTGGTGACTTCTTGGTCTTCATAATCGGTGTCTGCCACTAATCACAATCTCTTGCCACCTCCATCCAGTTCGCTCAAAAAAAAAGACTGATTTCGGATTGCATCCCAGCATCGGCGTCTTCTGTCCACCTCTCTCCACATTCGCTCTTGTTGGCACCTCCGATTAGCACGGTTGGCTGCGTAATGTTGCGAAAGAAGTTCAACATACATTCACCATCCCTTTGCTGACCCCGCACGTCGGTCATCCAGAGTCCTTGCCCCATGATTTTGGCCAGCCTACAGTCCGCTTTCTTTTGCTCCGTCAATTAAGTCTCATTTCGGAATTTGTACTTTCGTTTCTAAATGCGTCCCCTCCCCATAATGTTCAAAGTCCTCCTTTCAATTGCTACTTTGCCATGCTTTTGCTGGCCGTCATAAATAACAAATTATTCACTTTCTCCTGCTTCCAATACAGTACACGCAAGCCGCCAGATTTCTTGTACTGCGTCTCGAGACACAGATACATGTAGAAACTACATACATATACAATGTGTATTCCCTTGCATAGTATAAGATAAGCTGAGCGAGAATCCCTATACCCCATTTCAACTGATGTTACCATGCCCACATAAGCAACGGGGTATATGGACTTACTGTCCACCCTGCGTATATATTCTGCTTAATGTTGTGTGGATGTCGATTTGACCTTCGACTGTGTGCGGCTGTGTGTGTGTGTCCGACAGGTAGAGCAGCTGACGGAAGAGCAGAAAAAAGGTAAAGTATCTCTCTCTCACACAATTATGTTTGACATTGCGCATGTGGGACTCGTCGTAGGAAGCATTGTGACGTCACCCACCACGTGTCAGGCGCGCACCCTGCACGTGCCCTGCAAAGAGTGCTTGTCGCCCGGGGAATCCAGCCAAAGGTTTTTTTCTTCATGGTTTAATTCTCAGAACTGGACTTTGATGTTTAATGCAGTGACAACTCTTAAATTGAACGTCAGCGCTGCTGTCAATCCATTGCTGGATGTCTGACCATACTTCACCACGTGTCTATCGAACTTGAATCGCATATCTTCGTTTGTTTTTGTTCTGGCTAAAATCAGCACACACTCCGCATGCCACTGGCTCGGCTGATAGTGGCCGTGAGCGTACACATTCACTTACGCACGAGCACACACTGACACAGACGCACATGAGAGTGGGGCACTCAGGGTACATCAGGGACCGTAGTCCCCCCTCCCTCCCTGTCCCAAAACGGCCAGACCCTCGAGCTGTCTGTCCTTGTACGCCCATGAGAGAGCGAGAGAGAGCGACGCGTCACGAATAGCAGAATCCGACGCCAGCTTTGTCCCTGGGCGGCCACTTCACCCCACACGGGACACGAGCCAGATCCGTGCCCATTCATACAGCCGCCACCACCACCACCACCCACTACCCACCCACCCCTGCGACACAATACCACACACGCACCCACGCCAGCTATGTGATGAATTGTCATTGATTCATTGCTATGCCTGACTCAACAGGATTATTATTGTTATTTTATTAAAAACCAGATTCTTTAGTGGGGATTTATTTTCTGGACGGTCTGTGTCGCCTTTGTTCGTTCATCCAGCAGCGGATCGACTGCTGGATGTCAGCCTCACCACGTCGTGTAGTTCACAGGGGGATGCTTCACCCATGCTTTAGCACGCTGCTCGGTGCGGGTTAGTGACGGTGGGGCATCAGCAGCGGCTGATACAACACTCGCCACTGATGTTCGCCATGGCTCAGAATCGAACTCAGTTTCGCCAAGTTCACAGAGCAGCACGCGAACCACCGCGCACCCTGGATAATTAGCGCTCGATAGACACAAAATTGCCGCTGCTGCTGCTGATGATGATGATAACGATGCCGATGAAGAAGACGATGCTGCTGACGATGTCTCTAGCGATGAAATGATGACATTGACTCGGCTGCTGCAGGCGCTGGGCGAAGTTTTCACATCACAGGGCCATGGGGGTTTGGTGACATCTTAGGGAGGCCTACTTGATCCAGCAGTGGACTGACCATGACTCATGCTGACGATGATGGTGGTGATGATGTGTGGTGCAGAATTCCGGGCCGCCTTTGACATCTTCGTGCAAGACGCCGAGGATGGCTGCATCAGCACCAAGGAGCTGGGAAAGGTGCTGCGAATGTTGGGACAGAACCCCTCGCCAGACGAGCTCCAGGAGATGATTGACGAGGTGGACGAAGATGGTGAGAGCAGACAGGGCTCAACGAGCGCGCGATGATGATGATGTTTGGTGGTGGTGATGATGATGATGATGTGTGGTGATGATGATGTGTGGTGATGATTTGGAGATGAGTGGTGATGATGATGTGTGGTGATGATGTGTGGTGATGATCTCTGGTGATGATGTGTGGTTTTGATAATGTGTGGTGATGATGTGTGTTGATGGTGGTGTAGTGATGATGTGTGGTGGTTATGATGATAGTGTGGTGATGATGATGTGGTGATGATGATGTGGTCCTGCTGTGTGCGGTCTAAACACCATGCTGCATCGCTTGATGATGATGATGATGGTGGTGGTGGTGATGATGATGGTGGTGTAGAGGGAGGAGAGTGGTCAGAGAGACACGGAGACAGACGCAGGAGTGACACAGTGATGGAGAAACACGAGGAAAGGGACAAAGAGAATCATGGACACGAGAGGAGATAGCCGTAGGCTGAGCGAGACGGAGAGAGGCACACAGCGGCGTGGGTGTCGATGGTGCAGGCCGGCCGGACAACTGCACTGGGGAACAACCACGGGGTGACGATGTAAGGGGATGGAGGACGCGGGGGTTGAGAGAGGGCCCCATACCGTGTGTTCAAGCCAGGGCCCCTGCCAAGGCGACGGGCAGACACAGAGACACAGAGCGCCAGACAGGCATGCGGAGCAGATTGCAGATCGCTAGACAGTAAGGCACACACGTTGACATGGCCAACAATGGGTTGATGCTAATAATATCTGACCTACAGTTATTACATTCGTGGTGATAATAATGATGATGAGTCACTAAAATACACTGGCACTGGTCTATACCTACCACACGTGACCTGATACACGTGTGCGGTTTAAACTTTGAGGATGAATATCTGTTGGATGGGAAGCGATAGTCCCTCGATTATCTGAACCCGTTCTGGGCCTCCCTTAGGTCGACTCAGCCTCAAATAAGTACCTTGTGCAGGGTGTAAAAATCGCCACTTGGGAGACAAAGGCGGCCGGGCGTCGTGATGGCCACTCGCCGCCTCGTGTGCCGTGCCGGCCTTCATAGTTGGCCGATAACAGCACTCGCCCCAACAGTCTTTCCAGGCTACACGGGGGATCTTTGTTTCTTGCAAGTGGAAATCCTCCCTGGCACTGAGGAGACAAAGACGGTCGGGGTGGTTGGTGTTGGTCTGCCCCATCCCCACCACCCGCCATCATGATGTATTGTGCCTTCCTTAATTGGAGCACTTGCCCCCCACAGGCTGTTTGGCTACATGGATGGACTTTGTGTTTTTATTGTCAGCATAAAAACGACACTTGATAGACACTCTCACCGTTAAACACGTATACAGTCCACAATCATTCAGCATAGTTATGCACCAATATGGAAACGTGTGGATTGGTGTGTGGGTTCAGTGCCTGATCACACGGTCTATTATTCTCAAAGGCCATCTCTCCGTGCAAAGTGCATTCATACACAGCGACACAATAGTTGGCATCTCTATGCGATGGAAGGACGACGTGAGCGTCTTCTCCGGGTGGATAGGGGCGGTGGGATCTCGACGCCGCGAAGTTGAACTGTGGGTGCTTCGGTGTGTTGTCCGCGCGGGACGGCGCCGCGTGCAGGCAGTGGCACCGTGGACTTCGAGGAGTTCCTCATCATGATGGTGCGCAGCATGAAAGAGGAGAGCAAGGGGAAGTCAGAGGAGGAGCTGAGCGAACTCTACCGCATGTTTGACAAGTGAGGGTCTCGCCAAGCAGGCGCGGTCAATCGCTCCTCGCCGTCACCGCCGTCTGCTGCGTTGGCGAGACGTTCACAACGCCACTCCCGTAGCCCTCCCCTGGCTCAGACAACTTCCACCTCAACAGAGGATGCCGCTAATCGCTTGTGCCATGCGAAATAAAGAAGCGTGTCCCCCGCCCCCCCCCCCCCCCCCATACTCGCAGTGGCGAGATGTTAACTACCTCGCCTGGTATGCGGGAGGTCATGGGTTCGACCACGACCCTGACGCCTGTTGTATATATTTGGAGTTTGCGGTGTCTCTCTCCCCGTGGTCACGTGGATTTTTCTCCGGGTCCTCCGCTTTTTCCCCCTCCACATTTAGAATAAAAAAAAGCGTTCAGACTATTCGGCTGCCACGTCGTTGAGCTGCTATCGTTTGTGGCCAGGTCGCTTCTGAAAAAGAGCTCCATATCACAGTGGGCCTTACCTGGCAAAATAGCAAATAGTTGAAACAGTTGATGGCTCACGCGCTCCTCGCCATCAGCGCCATCGGCTGGCAGACGCCTGCTGCGTTGTCCCACGGCTCCGCCGAATTCGTTGAACGATCTCGACTCGTCCAGGCGACCTCGGTCTCAGTCTCGAGAGACACGAGTCATACAGTGTTGCCCCCTCGCACGCACGCCTGAGCTTTCTCCGGGCGCTCCGGTTTCCTCCCACATGTTAAACACTCGTGAATTTGACAACACCATCATGCTCCTTGGTTTTCTCGGTAGAGTCACGTAGGTAAAGAAAAAAACTGAAATTAAAATAAATGAAAACATTTCAATTAAATCACGACGTTTCGGAGGCAACACAAAACCAAAGAGTATGAATCCTTGCAGTCACGAAAGCTTCAAATCTAGAATTAACACCATCATATACAGAGGACAGCAGAGCCTGCGGGGGTGGCGGTGGTGGTGGGGGGTTTCGGAAGCGGCTCACTGCCTGGCTGCCGCCTCTCCGGCTCGTCCGTGGCTCCTGCTGCTCGCGCCTCTGAGTCGTTCTCTGAGTCGTTCTCTGAGTCGTTCTCTGAGTCGTTCTCTGAGTCGTTCTCTGAGTCGTTCTCTGAGTCGTTCTCTGAGTCGTTCTCTCTCTCTCTCCGAGAGCGATGAGCGGACACCGTGCGGCAGCCCCGCATTTCGAAATTTAAATTATTATTATTATCACCATCCTCCTCACACCATCACATACGTTGGTGACATTGGCGCTGCTGCTGACATGGATGGCCATTTTGATGTTGAAGATGATGACGATGGTGAAATAATTGCGAACTCTGCTGATTACGATGCCTCTGCTACGGCTGCTGACGATGATGACGACGACTGTGAAAGTGTTTCTGCTGCTGCTGCTGCTGATGGTAGCAGCAAACGTATTTATGTTGCTTATGATGATGCTGATGCGAACGATGCTGCTGCTATCAATGATGACGTCGCTGCTGATAACGCTGCTGCTGCTGATAATGCTGCTGCTGCTGATGATGCTGCGTACAGAAACGGTGACGGCTACATCGATCTGGAGGAGCTCAAAGTGATGCTGCACGCCACGGGGGAGGACATCACAGACGACGACATCGAGGAGCTCTTTGCGGATGGAGACAAAAACGGCGACGGTTTCATCGATTATGACGGTGAGCGTTTGAGACACCGACACGCTCTCTGCTCAGTACTGCGCACGGACCCACGTGCTGAACCTCGTTCGCGCCGTACGTAGCCAACCGCGCCAATCGGGGGTACAGTTCACCCGCGAGATGGGCGTCTCGTGCGCAACGGTGTTCAGTGTGCTGACTGACACGCGCGCCCATAGCAAATATGAAATTACACTTTGAATGTATAGATTATACATCAATAGCCCAGCTATTGTGCAACGTTGGGCCAAGGTTGGGGTGACGTGGGGCCAAGGTTGGGGTGACGTGGGGCCAACAGTTTCAACCTCATGCCAACGGCGGCCCAACACTGCAAGCCTTCGGTGTTATGGGAACTTATGCGACCTCGAGCAGGAATCACGAGTCACTGGCCACCGCGTTCTTACCGAACATTCAAGGGGACCGCATTGGCAATAGCGTTACACTATTAACGTTACGCCCAAACACTTACCAGCATCACTATTAACACCCGCCTCGTAGCGGACACAATACTGAATATGCTGAATATAATGAGGCTAACGTTTTGTGAAATGGCTCTTTTTCAGAGCTCAACACAGCAGGATCCTCTTGGCCTAGGGACTTTGCATTCGCGAAATAACTAAGTAGAGCTCAAGTGCTGGTGGTAGTGGCAATAGTGAGCTGTAGAATCCGGGTCACGGTGATGGTGGTGGTCGTGACGGTGGTGTTCTAGCGTCACTCAATGGTCATTAATTCAGAGCCTCAATTACATTGATGAGGGCATTGATGACGGTAATGATGGTTACATCAATTAAAAGTCAACACTTGCGGTCAAGGACATTTCATGCAATATACTGGCGGCCCCAGACATGTAGAGACATTCCAATGCCGCGGTCGAGTAGCATTGTTTATCACACTCGTGTCACCGTCGCTGTTTCAATGTCTCGCTCTTGCGTTGTTTTGCAGAATTCATGGAATTCATGAAGGGAGTGGATTAATGGAATCTTCCGTATACCCCCTCGGATATTACAATAACATCTACAACAACAATAAACAACCTAAAATACGACGTGCATTGATACACGAGTGGAACGTAAACTATGGCTAGGCGACGATAAGAGCCGTGCAAAATAGCCTTGGCCATAGTGTGGCTTCTTCAACAACAATAACGCCTACACATACATATGTAATATCATTACAACAGGGCCCTTGAGTAAGTTAACAATGGCTTGGATCGAGTTGGTCCTCCGTTTGCACCTTTGCTTTCGTGAGAAAAAAAACGCAACCCAGAAGGACGCACGCGGCTCTTGTCTTGTGGCTGGCTCCACGCGACCTTGATGACTTTGTGAACGAGATTTACAAACAAAAAAACCCAGAGGAAACATTGTAAAGTTACTTTCGCTGACGTGCCCGCTTTCGAGCGCTAACAATGTCACGGTGGTGTGACTATAGCACTGTAATGTCGGCGCAGTTATATCACCATCCTGAAAATAATTTTAGAGTCGTTTTCTTTCATTGTTATTATTGTTAACGAAGCGTCAATATTGTGTGGGTATCCCGAGGTTATGTATATACTAGAGAAGAGCTGCCGGTTTTTATGTGGTCGCGTGTAAGGATGTAAGCGCTCTGTGTAAGGTGTTGGACATACAGATGACATCAACGGGAAGTCGAGAGAATCTGGAAAATCCAGAAACAGAATTCTTCCAGGCATAACAATCAAATAATGGTGTTTCTGGTTTATGTTGAAAAACAATGTTAAGTACAATTTTACACTGTAGGTACCGCGTACGATTATGTTATACAGATGAGATTGGTCAATTTTATAACTGCTCGTTTCAAGAACTAAACCTGTGTAATAAAAAATATTGTACGTGACTTGATGCGTTTCTCGTTGTCATGATTTATGTACGATACAAATTAAAGCCATAGTATTTCTGGGAGGCTCAAATGGAACACGTGGTAGTAAGTTTAACACGTAGGCTTTCGCCACCAATATGATCCACAGCAGAGGTTTTTTTGGTTCGATCGCGTAAATATATAAATAAATGTGCCGTTAAACCCGCCACCACCCGACACAGACATTTAGTAAGGTTTGTCACGTAAACAAAACGTGCCAATTCGTTACTAGTACAGCACACGGGCGTGTTGGAGAGTGAACCCTCTACAACATTTAAAATTCCAGTACCGTGACGTTTCGCCAGTAATTTATTAATAATAATTTACTACGATAATGAGCCAAGAATGTCTGTGTGTCCCGCGCGTGACGTCACTCCACGTCGACCATCCCCCCTCATTAATAATCATGAACATGTTACGTCCTCCACATGGACCCGCCCCTCATTAATAATGATGAGCGGGTGACATCACTCCGTACGGAAAACCCCCCCTTATTAATAATCATGAGCAGGTGACGTCACCCCACATCGACCAGCCCCCCTCATTAATAATCATGAGTGGGTGACGTCCTCCAAATGGACAACCCCCCCCCCCCCGCCATTAATATTAATTAGCGGGTGACGTCACTCCACTTGGGGGGGCGAGGCGCCTCCTCCCCCCCCACAGCGTCAACTTACAACCCTCACTACAAAGGCAGAACCCTCACGTCACGTGATCTCCGTAACGCTGTTGTTGAGACATCAAAGTAAAAAGGACGTCATAATGAACAAGGGATTATAACCTTTACACGAAATGAGTCTGTGTTACCGCATCCATACAAATTGCACACGAACGGATGCAATTAATATCACGTCGCAGTCTGCTTGTCGCTTGCAAGTTTCACATTTACTGCAATACACCCGTCCTTGGACGGGAAAAAGGCTAGTCGTTAAGAATAATAACCTCATCATTGGACCTCCTTTGGCAGTAACAAAATATAATAATAGGGTTTTTTTCCGTTTTTTTCTGGCAACAAAACTGAAACCTTTTTTTTGCCAGGATTCATGTCTGCATTAACCACAATACTTGCAGTCAAAATGCAAACAAAAAACACACTCTGATAATATAAATATATGCATTGTCCTTGAAACTGTTTGGTCCACACCAGAGACAGCTTTCTTTTGAGCCTCGTCTCAATTGGTGTGAGACCAGATTGACCTTTCGTGACTGCAAGGATTCATACTCATACTATTTACCGAATAAAACTAAAGAGTATAGGTCCAATGATGGAGATGCTTACCCCGAGCCCTCATTACTTTGATAGTGCATTGTCTTTGAGCTGTACGCCTTTTGGCGTCATCTTTTCGAGCACCAATTGAGACGAGGCTCTAAAGAAAGCTGTCTCAGGTGTTGACCAATCAGTTTCAAGGACAATGCATATATTATCAGTGTGTTTTTTGTTTGCATTTTGACTGCAAGTATTGTGGTTAATGCAGACAGGAATACTTGTAAAAAAAGGTTTCAGTTTTGTTGCCAGAAAAAAGGGGAGAACCCTATTATTATTATAATAATATGGCCAAGGTAGGGCAAGAACAAACCACGCCCCTAAACCCACACAGCCCCCCGAGCTGATTCGCTCGGAATCACGTTCGCACCCGCCCCACTGCTCACAGGGCCCGCCCACTACTCAGGTAACTCCACCCACTTCCGAGGTAGCTCCGCCCACTCGTCAGGTAGCTCCACCCACTACTGAGGTAGCGCCACCCACTATTGAGGTAGCTCCACCCACTAGTCGGGTAGCCCCACCCACAACTCGGGTAGCTCCACCCCACTGCACAGGTAGAATTCTGGCAGAGGCGTGCCGGAGCCTTGCGTTCCAGGGCGGCCTATAGATGGTGACGCCATAACAGGTCCCTGCAGGGTGGGCTGGTAGGAACATTGGAATTTTTCACTTCGTTAAAGTATTGAAAGGGGACGGACGGACGGATGGACGGACGGACGGCCACATTAATCTATTGCAGGCTGGTACACTCAGTTTACAACTTTGTTCCTACCAGTATAACTACTTCTGAGACCCCTTCAAGTGACTGCTGTTGCGGCGCTGCCCTTTTGCAACATCTCGCCTTCAAAGTAATATTTTCATTCTCAGAGCTGGGAATTATTTCCAGCGTGCTAACCACTGTGACCACCGCTTCACCCGAGGTTGTATACTATTACCATGTGCTCATTAATAGATTGATATTGGTTCAGTACGTGGTGATATTGTTGTGTGAACGCTCACGTGCAGGCCAGGATAGACCCAGGTGTGTGGTTAGCGCCACTCAAAGGGGAGGCAGTCTCTGCAATGAATGCATGTGGCTCCGTCCACACGCCAGCCATAATCGCAGCGTTTATTAAGCTCGTTAAGTCTAAGAGCCATTGTCACGGTGACGGACGCCCTTCGGGTTAATTTCTAAAGCAAATTGGGGACAAGGAGAGGCGGGGGGGGTCCTAATGATGGGACGCCAAGTGGCTTGCTCCGTATTTCGCGAGATTGCAAATTGTCTCCGAGATCAGATGGCACCGCACCGAGATGCCTAAAGTGCGCATTCAGATCCCAAACGGGAATTTTCTGTCAAATTAATTATTTTGCATTGCAATTAGGAGAATTAATCAGATGATAGATGTTGCGATGGGATTATCGCAACATCTCTCAAAGGATAGAGGCGTGAAGAGGAACCACAGATAAGCGGTCGCGGAAACAGTTTCAGGGTTTGCTGGTTGTTCCGCGCCGTGTCCGACGTTTCGTTCCACGTAATTCAGTCCCTGCCGAAGCTCCCAACACGTGGGAGCGATTCGTCGGCCTCGTGCGGAACAGCGCGCGGTAACAACCCGAACACACTCACGCAGTGGGAGCTGCACAGCAAGTGTGCGTCTCTCTCTCCTCCATCAACAAGGTGTGACAGATGCCGAGTATGCTGACGACGGCACATCACTCCGCACCTTCGATTGGCGCGCTTGGCTACGCACGGTGCGAAAGAAGTTCAACAAACCTGCACACGTACAACTCGCGCAGTGCGTTTGCTCTCGGGTGAGGACATTTCTTCCCGGGTTACTAACCTGGACAGACCCGGCGGAAAGTAATCCCTGGGTAAGAGAACCCGCCCTTGTTATCCCCCCCACCCCACCCCGTGTCAAGCCACTGGGAAATGGAGGCAGTAGGGCATGGGGCGGTAGGTGAAGGTCATAGCCAGAGATGACGCTTCTTGGACAGCCTACTGCCTCGGCAGTGATGCACAAACATAGAGACACCTCTTTGCGTGCTGCGAAGAGAGGGCACAGTGGCCGAAACGTTGGCTGCTACATACTTTTAATGCCACCATGGTGTTTTCTTGACGATTGTGTTGAGTTGCAGTGTCGTATGACGAAGGATTCAGCCGTGGAGGAATCCTCCACCCCAGAGTTCTTTCATGGTAAGGCCACCAGGGGCCACGGGCGGCCCCTGGTGGCTTTTAGTGCGGCCACTGATGTCTGCGGTCCCCGACAATGCACGAAAGTGAAATCACCCCCCCCCCCCCCCATCATCATCGTGCTGCTGCTGTCAAAACCCCAAAGGTTTCAAATGGTGTGGCGGCCCTCACACTCACGATGTTTTATCGGCGAAAGTGCCCCCCCCACCCCACCCCACCTCTGACAATCAGTGAAGAACGCTGTTCCACTCTGTTGCGCTTGCAGACACAGCGATCACGGAGGAGGGGGCATTGATAGAAACTCGGGGCTTGCTTGACCATACTTCACCAGCTGCTGGTGCCCCCCCCCCCTACCCCACGCGCGATCAAAATAATCCAGCGAGGCCACGGATCCCGCGGCGCGGGGTATAAGCGGTGCGCCTGGTGGCTTGTCGTGATTGATGGCCGCAATGCAACGCGACGCGAGCCCAGGCACGGCGGGGCCGCGTGCCCCCACCCCCGTACCGCCCCGCGGTGTACATACAAGGGCCAAGGTTGAGCTGAGAACAAACTAATATATTAATATGGAGTCAGCGCATTAGCTTTGTTATTTCTGTGCGTGTGTGGAGTAATAGGATATGATATTCTACTTCAGCGGGGGGATATTCTGGTAAGGGCATTTTGGGTGGCTGGTTGGACTCAGTGGCATCGTGGCCTGTTAGCCGGTGGCATGGGTGATGTCCCTTTTGTTTCTTATTAACTCGCTGTTGCTGAACGCAGGCCCACTCGCTGTTGCTGAACACAACCACTCACTGTTGCTGAACACAACCACTCACTGTTGCTGAACACAACCACTCACTGTTGCTGAACACAACCACTCACTGTTGCTGAACCGAGGCCCACTCACTGTTACTGAACCCAGGCCCACTCATGGGCTGCTGAACTCAGGCTCACTCACTGTTGCTGAACCCAGGCCCACTCGCTGTTGCTGAACACAGACCCACTCGCTGTTACTGAACACAAGCCCACTCACTGTTGCTGAACCCAGGTCCACTCATGGGCTGCTGAACCCAGGCCTAAAAAATGGAATTCTAAAGGTGATGAGAGCGATTGTTAGATACTTGTAACTCGTGTTTACCCAGGAAGGCCTCGCTAAGTCTCATCAGAAACTGTGGGGAGGTGTGGAAAAGGGCATTTAAGCCAAGGTCACAAATCAAGGACCCAGCTATGCATCCCCTTAGCTTGCTAACCTTGTGGGACCGCGCTGGATTTTCGCGCCCGCGCCCGCCGATGGAACCCGCAACAAAATTCCTTTCGCTGCCGCCAAGGGCGCGGCGCGCGTCGCGCACAATGCGGACTACGATGAGCGAGTGAGTTACTGCCACGCGTCGCACGCCACGTGCGTGAGACCTGGGGCCACGGCTTGCAGACCACGTTTGGTATTGATTGGGGTCCCGCGGTCATGATGGATTCGGTCATATTTTTGGGCGCTATGCCATCCATCTCAGCGGGCACGGAGCATTTAGTAACTCGCTGGCATCGCTCGCTGCGATTGCCTCCAGGGCATCAATC